AAATATCCCATGTTGCTCTACGGCAGTGGTCCCCAAACTTTTTGGTACCGGGGACCGGTGCTCCTATGAGAATCTAATGCCTGATGATCTGAGGTGGAGCTGAAGCAGCGATGCTAGTGCTGGGGAGCGGCTGCAAATACAGATGAAGCTTCGCTTGCTCGCCCGCCACTCACCATTCCTAACAGGCCAAGGACCAATACCGGTCCAGGGTCTGGAGGATAAGGACCCCTGCTTTACATAATTCCTGCTTAATTGTCAGGTAACATTCTCTATACTGGCTACAGCAAAGTTGATTTACCCAGTCCCTACTGCTGGACACTGAAACCACTTCCAAGTTTTGGCTACTGTCAGCAATGCTGCAATGAGCATCTTTGGGTAGAGAGGCTGTTGTCTTCTTGCTGATTAAGTCTTCAGGGCAGATTCTTGGAAGGGGTCTTACTGGGTCAGAAAAGATGAACATATCAGGGTTCTGGATAATATACATGATGGGAAGAGGATGGGCTCTGGCGCCCGAGTGCCTGGGTGCAGATGCTGGCCCCTCCACCTGCTAGTTGGGTAAGCTTGAGCCAGTTATTTACTCTCTCTATCCTCAAGTCCTTCTCATCTATAAAGCTGAGATTAATAATAGTGTTGATGTGAGAACTAAATAAGCTTAAACATGTAAAGAGCTTAGAAGAGAGTAAGCACTCAATGTATGTTAACTGCTGTTTCTATCTTACTGTTACTGTTATTATTCATTTTTAAAAAAAGTGTATCGAGTACTTATTGTGTTAGGCACTATTCTAGCTACTAGTTATCACCTTGACAAACTACTTTCCAAAAAGGCTTTGTTAATTTGCATTATCACGAGCATGTACAAGGTGTCAGTTTTAGGGATAGATATTATTTTTACCACTCCTACACAAAAATTAACAACTTGGTACATGGTGGTACCTCACTCAATGTTTTCACATTGTTATCTCTCTCTCTCATTCATCTATCTGTCTGTCTGTCTATCTATCTATCTATCTATCTATCTATCTATCTATCTATCTCTACCTATCTATCGACCTACCTACCTATTTATTATAAGTGAAAGGTTTTGGTGCACTTCCAGTAATTAACTTTCTCCATGGAGGCTGCTAGTGTACACTGATACATGAAGTAGCCTTGGAGGGAAGGGGACAGTTTCACCAGCTGGTACTAAAAATTACCTGAGGCTCAGAGGCATATAATATGCAAAATCAGTCTATATGCTTCACCTCCAAAAATAAATACTATCCCCAGGCTGTGAGGAAGATCAGTGGGGATGCTCTGCTTTCCTTCCCACCAAATCACCAGGTGCCCTGACTACTGGCTCAGTTAATGCAAATTAACAAATCACCTTGATCTTGGTGATTTGGTTAAACCTGGATGAAGGATATGGGTGGGGAGGGGAACAGTGTGACTGTTCAGAGCCACCAGTTCCCCCATGAAAATCAGGGTACAATATGACTATTCAGACCCTCTAGTTCCCCCACTTGCTGGCAGTTGCCTCAGTGGTCACAGCCACAGAGCCGAAGGACATGAAGGCATCCAGGCCTATTCTTGCAGTTTACCAGTAGAGGAAGTGACTTGTCTAAGATCACTCAGCTAATTCAAGTCTCCTCACTGCTGGCCAGGCTCTGTCCACAGCTTCACACTCACCATGGCAATGGGGCGGCCAAAGTCCAGAACCCAGTTCTGCAGGGTGAAGTAGAACCAGAGGTCAAGGTGGAAGGGAGCCGTGCCTGTGGCCTCATCAGTCTTGACAGAGCTGTGCCTGGGAAGAACCAGAGGAGAGGGGTCAGCACTTCTCCCCTCCAACCATGGATACCTCCCTTCCCCGTTGCCTGTGAGCCACAAAAAGGTCTGGGGACTTGGGGAAAGGAGAAGAAACACATGATTAAGTTCTGGGAAAAAGACTGTGCAGGAAATACTGGGGTCTGGGCCTGTGACCAAGTGGTAGGTGTCCTGGGAGTGGACTCCAGCTGCCCTGACCTTAGCTTCGCTGTGATTCAGGAAGGAAGCTGTCAAATAGGTATAATGACTGTCAGGTTTTCTCACCTATAGAATGATGAGGAAATCAAATGGGCAAAGGATGCAATTTCAGCTGAAAAACATGAAACATGATGATGGATGATAGTAGCTATACTTTATTGAATACTTAATATATTCCAGGCAGTATTATAGCTATTTACATGTATTATCTCATTTAACTCTTAATCCTCACAGAAACCCTTTGAAGTTGGAATATTACCCTCATTTTAAAGTGAAAAAACTAGGTCCGAGGTATTAAGTAACTTCCCAGTTCCACAGGTAAATATGTGAACTTCTAAGTGACTAGACTAAGTGACTAGAGCTTATATTTGTAACCTCTATCCCATCATTGCATTCAGTGGTTGGTCTGTGTGATGAGCACGTGACTTGAGATGGACCAATCAGAACCTTCTAATGAGATTTGCCTTATAGACTATAGACTGGATGAACAGGGCCTCCTTCCCCCTTAGTTCCTGAACCACGAGGAGGTAAGAATGGAGCTGCTGGTGTTCCTCTCCTCACCGATCCACCGTGAAATCTAAGAAGGAAGCCAGCAGGGACAAGTCGATGTGAGAGCCATGGAAAGACGTGGAGCACCACCTGACAACACACCTTTGGATGCCTGTCCCTCCTACAAAGCAGTCAGCCTTCTGCTCTTCACAGATGAGCTGAAGTTCAAGGGTCAGTGCACGTGCCACCCCCTCCAGAAAGGCTTCCCCGATCACGCTTTTCCCAAAGCCCTACCAGTCCCACTACAGGGAGTGAGTGCTTCATCTCCAACTCCCAGCATGGCCAAGAAGTCAGGGGCCTGGAGTTTTCTTCTCTTAGATCCTCAGGGAGTGACTTTTACGTTTCTCTCGAGTCAGTCACCTCCCCATCGGAGTCCAGATCCTCTTCACAGTGTCCCTACCACGACTCGCACACCTTCAGTGACAAGCAACCCATTACTTGATAAGATGATTGTTTTATTGTCCCGTTTGTGCCAAGAACAAGAGGTGTGTGACAGATCAGTATTCTCTAGAGTTCTCAGCTCAGTGCCTGGTTTATGTTCAGTGATTACTGGCTGATTTGAAACAATCTCAATTGCCAGTTACTCATTCTTTTTAGTGGCAAACATTAGCCTAGAGGCACCATGGAGGTTTTCCTCTGTCAAGGCTGCTATTGCTTCCATGACTTTCTGGGATCTTTTTCAGCCAATTCCAAGAATGGTCCACACTGGGCTGGTAGAACAACCCTGAGACTGGGCCTTTCCCAGGTGGGCGAAGTCTTCCTGTCCCTTTTACTCAGTGCTCCCCCCACCCCCACTGATTGAGTCTGTGTGTTATGTTAAGCTTCATCTGCCCTGTCTCATCTCATCCTCACAGCAATACCAGGAAGCAGAGCTTTTACCTTCTTGTTTCATAAATGAGGAGCTTGAGGGTTACAGGGGTTAAGTGCTTAGCCAAGGTCACCCTGTAAGGAGCTGCAGCAACTATTCCTTTGGTCAGCCTATTTCCCATTCCCTGCTTCTTCTGGTAAGAGATGATGTTTCCTTAGCCAAAGGGAGGGCCGGTGACGCAGGCCAGCCCACGTAGGACTTTTCTATCTAGAGTTTGTAGGAAGAGCTCCTTCCTTTCTGGTGTCGGGGCACTAAGGATGCAAACCTAGAGCTGCCCATGGCCAAGGTTCCAGCTTCAAGGAACAGCCAGGTGAGAATCAAGCAGCCCTGCTCAAAGGAAAAAGGGGGAGGAAAAGCCCTGAGAGTGCTCCCATTCCCAGCTCCAGGCATCCCCAAGACCTTCTGTTCTAGAGTTTGTAGGAAGAGCTCCTTCCTTTCTGGTGTCGGGGCACTAAGGATGCAAACCTAGAGCTGCCCATGGCCAAGGTTCCAGCTTCAAGGAACAGCCAGGTGAGAATCAAGCAGCCCTGCTCAAAGGAAAAAGGGGGAGGAAAAGCCCTGAGAGTGCTCCCATTCCCAGCTCCAGGCATCCCCAAGACCAGCGGTTTGGCCACAGAAGTCAATACACTCCCCTTCGCTGACGGTGCTGCCGTTCACACTGGCTTCCTATCACTTGCAACCCGGGAGTCCTGAATAGCACAGATTTTCAATCTGGGACTATATGAATTTAATATCTGTGAAGTTAACCGCTTGCTAGTTTGTTTCTGATCATTATAATAAGCTGTGCAGCGTATTCAGAGATCAAGTTAGAGAGGGATCAGTGCAGCCTGGAACAGTAGGCAAGGTACAGAAGGAAGCGGGGCTCAAAGTATGGGTGGGTGGATTTAACCAGGCAGAAAAGCAGCAGAGCAAGATCGAAGGCCTGGGGGTGGAAGAGAGAAAGGCACTGCCTGGAGTTGAGCTCCCTGGCTTATGGTGGAGAGGAGGAGAAGGGAGGGGCTGGCTGGGCCTTCAGGTTGGGTAGATACATTCAGAAACTAACTGCGAGGAATGCTCAGGGATCTGAACCCAGTGACTGGCATAAGAGGCCCCACCTCGCTCCTATCCTGTAGTGACCACCAGGGCAAGGCCTCAAAAAGCAGACAGTGGTAAACTTTAGGTGAAGAACTTGGAAGGAGGAGGATAAGAGCCCTCAGTATTTTGCTCTGGAAACTTCCAACTGGGCAAAGAGAAGGGTATTTGGTACAGAGAATAAAGGCATTCTGAAAGTCTGGAAAAGCACTTAGGTGTGGGTCTCTGGAAGATGGGGCTCAGTAACTATTTCCTCCTCCACCTTAGGAGGCACCTCAGTTAATGGGGATTGCTGTCATTAGTCCAGCCTGGCTTAGCTGGGCAGGAAAAAAAGGGCAGGTACAGGGCAGATACCGAATTTGGGAATCAAGGTTGATCAGTATCTGACTGGTTTTCTTGTTGGCACGGGAGGCCGATCATGGAGGCATCCTCTCCCCCAGACCCTGTCCTGGGGATGAACTACCTCAGGCTTGTGCCAAGTTGCTGACTCCACAGACTTCACATACTGACTGTGCGCCCCCGCCCTCCCAAGCCTATGCCAGCTCTAGGTCTCTATCATTAGAAACTACTGCGAACAATGGTGAAAGCACAGTGGTAGGTAACCCAAAACAAGGCTGGCATTTTTCTCTCCGCCACAGCTTTACAAGTCTACCAGATGGGGAAGCTGATACTACAACGGTAGGGGAGTGCGTACCATACAGTTGAAATATTCAAAGTAGACTGCCTCGCAGAAAAGGAAGGGGTCTCCGCCATGGTAGAGACAAGCGGGGACCATGAGTGGAGACTATAGAGAGACTGATTTGGGTTCATATATAAAGAATGGTGAAATACCTTACATGATGCAAAGTTTGAACAAAAAAATGAGGAAATGAAGGCAAATAATAAGAGGAAAAAAAAAAAAAAAGAAAGGCAATTAGAAACTCCAGGGGAGAAGAAAGCAGTATAAGAAATTGTGATGATTACATGATGATTGCTAAACATCACTTGGATCTCTAGAGAACAATATTTACATGGATTAACCAATGTAAATACCGTATATTGATTTTCAAAGTTTAGAATCAATCCATAGACAAAACATTGAAGACAATTATGGTTAAAAAACAGCAGGCAAATATTATCAACCTTGACAGCGTGAAAGTAAAACTGTATATGACAGGAGTTGCGGGAAAGGATAAGGACAGCTACAGGTTAGGGTAGGCGACAAACATTCTCCTTTTAAAAAAGAATCAAGGGATACTGCCTACCCATTAATCCAAAAATAAATAATAGTATATGCATATTCCCTAAGGCTACAAAGTTAACCAAGAGAAAAACTAAAAATAGTGATAAAAACACCATCTTGTGAAGATCAGGGCAGTATGAGTGAGCCAAATCGTAACAGGCAGTCAGTAAACATTAGCTTAGAGGATAAAATTAATAAACTAAGAAATAGTAGTTGAACATAGCTTTTAAGATAAGGACTTTGGAGACCACCTAGGTTCACATACCAGCTCTGCCACTAACCAGATCTTGAGCAAGTTCCTTAACCTCCTGGACCTCAATGTTCTCATCTGTAAAATAGGGGACAATAGTAGATCCTATCTCAAGAACTGTGGTTGAATTACTGTGCAAAAACTTAGAGCAGGGCCTGGTCCACATAACTGCTACATAGTGTTATTATTATTTAGAAATATGCATTTAACTTAGATAGAAACAGCTAAAAGATGCTAACATGGTTGCCTCTGGTGCCAGGAAGAGGGAGAACAGGGGACTATTGCTTTTTACTCTAAGCCCTTCTATGCTATTTTATTTACTCATAGGCATGTATTACTTTGACTACAGTACAAAAAAAAAGTGTCAACAAAGCAAGGTAACTAGCATCTTGTCATTAGAGGCATGTAAGCAAAGCATGGATGCAGCAGAGGAAATCCAAGCACCTTAGGAATTGGACAGGATGATTCTGTCAAAAGCAAGAATGATACTGAGGAGGGACCCAGAGGCACCCAGTGAAGGAGGGGCGCAGAGGCACCCTGAGAGCGAGCCAGCCCTTTACACCATCCCCAGGGAGCATCCTAGCTGTTGGGGAGCTCAAGCAGGAGTAAGGAGAGACATCACTCCTTGCAGCCAAAGTGGAGTAAGAAGAGCAGAAACCAGAAGTCAGAAGCCCTGGGTTTAGGCCCTGATTCTTGCCCACCTCCTTAGTGCCTGGCACAGAGCTGCGTACACCAGAGATGCTTAATGAGTGCCCACTGAACGCAACAATGTTTCTAATCTGTAAAACAGGATGAAAGCAGAATGGAGGGCAAGATTAAAAGGCAGCTTCCCTGCCTCTTCCTCTGCCCCACCTGGTCCCAACTATACCAACCAATAACATCTTCCCCCTCGAGGAGAGAAGCCGGCAGCAACAGAAGGAAAGCCCTTCCTCATTCTTTGTCTGGAGCCCAGCTTCTACACTTTTGCACTGTCCCTTCCACCTACATTCTCCTTCTTTGGCTGACTGGGGCAGGGGTCCCCATCCCCCAGGCCACAGACCAGTATGGGTCCATGGTCTGTCCAAAACCTACTACATAGCAGGTGAGCTGCCAGCCAGCAAGCAGAACTTCATCTGTATTTGCAGCCACCCCCCAGCACTAGGATCACAGCCTCAGCGCCACATCAGATCATTAGTGGATTCTCATGGGAAAATCGGTCCTTGGTGCCAAAAAGGTTGGGGACTGCTCCCCTGGGGCAAGGAGTGAGCCTCCTGATTAACACCAGAATTCAAGTCCAATTCAAGGTTGGAGGGACCTGGAGAACTTGGAGGTGGAGCCCAGGCTTTGCAGGAGCTCTTGGGGCCTGAGTGAAGGGTGGTGTCCTCTAGGCCTGCCATCCCCACCCTGAGATTATTAGGCCCCTGGTGATGTCTTCTTAGCTGCGCTATCCTAGCGCAGCCGGGGTCGTGCGGTGAATGCTGAGCTTCACTGGGCCCTGGGCACCCCCAAGAAGAGAACAGACCTAGAGGCGGGGCTCAGGCCAGGGAGCCTCCGGCCCACCCCAGGCTCCGCTCCATCCGGTCCGCCGCACTAGGGTCTAACCCCGGCAGCCCGCACCCGTCACGTGGCGGGGACCGGGTGCCGCTGCACACC